TTCAGTTCAACGTGTTTGTTTTTAACATCAAAAAAGTATATGTATACATATTATACATATATATATAGAGAGAGAGCCCATATCTTATTGCCCAGAAATATATGTAACTATTAGTGATTTATAATTTTATAAAGTAATTTTATAAAAATTAGGTTATAGTCTTTGTATTACTATATAAAGTACAATGTATTATGTTTTTGTTTGCTTGTTTGCAGTTTTTGGCCAGGGCTGGGTTTGAACACACCACCTCCAGCATATGGGGCTGACACCCTACTCCTTTGAGCCACAGGCACCGCCCCATATGGTCTTTATTTTTTTTTAATTTTATTATATATTATTTAGTTTTACACAAAGATACTAAAGGAAGTGTTGAGCTTCAGATAAACAAGGTCAGACAGTAAAGGTTGCAAACTCATCCCAGAAAAAATGCTTACACACCTCATTGCTTATATCACTATGGTCACCTCATATATGGTCTGGTGTCATACACACACATGTGTGTATTAGATATAGATATGTAAACTCCAAGAGCGATTACTGATTATAATATCCCTCAATGTTACGAAAATAATTACGAAGTGAACCAAGCATTAGAACTCACTTTTAAAACTGCATCTCCATTGCCACCTTTCCACAATTTGTACATCAACTGGGAAGGTCATTATTATTCAGTAGGCAAATAATTAAATCAACATATGGCCATCTATTTCTTAGAGACGTTTTGGGTCCAGAAAAACAATTTGAGAAACTGAATTCTCCTTGAATCACCTCTTCTTCTTCAGCCCTCCCTTAACCATCTCTCCCCAAAAGTGAAAAAAAAATAAAAAATAAAAACACCTTGGTTTTCATCATTCCAGGTAGCACCTCTGTTAAAGGGATTGCCTCTCCCTAATCTTGTCATTTAGCTTTTGAATTATGCAGAGATAAATGAGCAAAGCAACCTTTTGGCTGCTAGATAATTTTATCAGCCTCGTTTACGGCTTTCTATAGATTGCACTCACTGCCATTTCTTGGGAGATAAAAGATAAAGTGTGCCTTATGCAAAATGCTCCACTGAACAAGGAGAAGTGCAGAAGCCACTATAACAGCATTAGAAGCTGAAGGGAAAAGGCGGGGTGCTCAATAATCCATCAGCAGCAAGGTTAATTTTGATCACTGTCATGCGTAACTCAAGCCAGAAGCCTGTCTGCCAGGTGTGGGCTGGGCGTACCTAAATGTGGCTCGGCAACTCCAAATACAACTTGAGACCATCTTCTCCTACGCTTTTTTTAAGAAAATGCACCCATTTAGGAAAAAAAACATAGCTTTCTGATGACATTTCAACTCAGCATTTTAAGGATGAAGCACATGAAGTTGTGCTCACCGTGTGCTTACAAAGCAGATGTTGTCCTTAAAGGAAACTCGGGAGAGGGGAGAGAAAATGTCCCAAGAGTCATAAAATATACAATGGCAAAGGATGAAGAAATGAGAGTTGCCCACTATTAGTGTAAGAAACCAGGGAAAGTGCACTGTGCCTTCCTGGTATTGGTGCTAATAGGTTAGCACTGGGGGCAGCGGGCTGATGAGGATGGGGGACTCTCTGTAACTTTCCGTGAGTCCGTGATTATTTCAAAATGAAAGGTTAAAAAATATATTGCGGCTGAAATTCAGGGAAGGTTTGGGACATTGGCCAAACGTTTTAGGCACGTACTATTTCCAATCCCCTGACCTTAACACACATGGAGAGACGGGAGCTAGAAAGCTAGATGATATCTGTGCCCTCGCGGAACCTGTGTGCTAGAGAGGAAGGCGGGTGACAACGGCTGGGGATGAGCCCCTGGGTGAGTTGGGTACCACAGCGAGAACTGAGAAGGAAGCAGAGGGACGCTGAGGCTGAGGATGCCCAGGGCAGCACAGGAGGGGACGGGAAGGGCCCTTTGAGGACACGCTGCTTTAGCAGATTCCCAAAGCATAGGAGGAAACTAGCTTGGCAAAGCGGGCAGGAAGCTGCAGCCCAGGCAGCCGGAACAGCAAGCACAAATGTCCTGGCGGCAGGGAAAAGCTTGGCTTCCTCCCGGAGCTCTGGAAGGAAGCCAGCCAAGCTGCCCTGAGCCAGGGCGGAGACAGTGACAAGCAAGCTGATGTGTCGGTGAGGAGTTTTGTCCTAAGTCGGATTTGACCTGTGCCTTGAAAGATAAAAATACCAACTTTTTATCAGTTTCTGAATACTTGTGAGACTCATCCTTACTTTTCAAATCAAGAAGAAAAACACTGGCCCGCCTGATCCTCAGGAAAGGAGGATCAGGCACGAAATTGTCCGTTCTTTCCAGGTGTGTTCTCTGCGTGGCTGACATTAAGTCTGATCTGGTGGCCCTTCTTTGAAGGGGAGTGCAGAGTATTTGTGAATGCCCATAACTGTCCTCTTAAACAAACCAAAACTAGCAGGCAGGATAAGGTCTAGAAACCGTGTAACCAAAGCACACTGCTTTCATTTTGCACAAGGAAATAGAGAAGAAAAGGGAGAAACGCCTATCAGTGCCGGGCATGTCAGGCAAAGTGATATGATTGAAATATTATGGGAACTCGCAGCTTTTCCCGTCGGTGCCAGAGCACTGCTATACACCAAACATACCTGGTGCTGTTTAATTCAGAGGACCCATAAATCTGAAGCTCACAGAAACATCTGACAACAGTTAAAGATGTTTTGTAAATGTGCATACATATTTATAAACACGGGAGCAGAAGCGGACGCAGGGAGTAAGTGTGCTTCCCCTAAAGTCATCTGAAAGTCAAAAAATGCCATTAATTACTTTGTCACGACAACCTTGTTCAATTTCATCTCAGGTGACTTATCAGCTTTGATGCAGAACCGAAATTTTAATACCAAATTGCAGCCGGCTCGGAAGGCAGCATACCTTAAAACACAGAGCTTCCCTTTCTTCTAGGCAACATTAAGCTAATCTTCCCTGACAGAAGAGGACTCTTCGGAACTAGCTAGCAAGTCTCCCAAATATGAAGCAGTAACCCAAATGTCAATTACTTTTCCACTGGTAGACAAATTGCTAGCACACTAATGCAATTTAAGCCCAATAATTAGATAACAGGACTACAGAGAGGGCCTGGTGACAGAGCTTCTGAGATAATAGAATCTAGTGTCCTACTTCTTAAATATTAACATCATTCTGTCTCAGTCAATCGGTTTATGGTAATTTAAAAAAGGGCAAAGCAAATTCCTTTTATTGCTAATAATATTGTGCTATTGCAGAGTTAGCTTTGAAGGTTAACAATCTACGGGGTCAAAACTTAATCATGTGTTATCATGGGTTTATGCATTTTTCTTTCAGCTCTTTCTTTCGGAATGCCCTCTCTATGGAACAACGCAAAGGGTTTATGAGAAACACATACACACACACACACAATGCACTGACAATGGGCATCCATCGTCAATGAGGCCATTCAACTTAATTAACAACATTATAAAGAAATCAACCCTGTAATATTGCATACATTCTGAAATCTCTCAACTTCATCACCTTTTTTCCCCACCATAAATGGCTCATTTTAAGGACGTTATAAATATACCTACGAATTACTCTCAAATGTCACAGGCTTCCACCTCCCCATCATTTATGATGCTCAGACCTCCATGCTTAGACTCCAATACCTCCCTGGAATATTAGTCCCAAATCTCAACAGTGATTTGGCCTGTTTTTGTTAGTTGAATGGAGTAAGTTATTTTTACTTAATAAATGTTTTCCTAAGTGCTTAGTGAGTTCAGAAACATCTAGAATCTTACAGAACAAACCGTCACAGATGTGAATTCCTCACAGCAGAGCTCCCAGTGATACATCCAGGAGGAGAGATCGGAGGCACCCAGGTTCACATAGACTCATGAAATGATTTCAGCCAAGTCCAAATGTTGTATCCCTATTTTCCCCACTGTAAAATGGGAGACGTTTAAGTTTTAAAAACTCTGCTTGTGAAAAATGAAGTGTATGGGAGGGAAGAGGGTCTCACATCAACAGTAACAGGAACAAGTGGGCCCCCCCACACCCACTATGATATGTTTAGAGAATATAACAAGCACAAACTGTATACACGGATACTGTGATCTATGCCATTTCAGACGGTGGCCGGCTAGTCATTCAGGAAAAAAACAGGAACAGCAGAGTTGCTGCCATATTGAGACTTTTCTGTGTGTGCACAAATCAGGGATGGCCAGATTGTTCTGTTTGGAGGTAACACAACAGATAAAAGAAACGGGAAGTGGGATTGCTGGATCCAATGATAATTCTATCTTTAGGTTTTTAGTATGTCTCCAAACTATTTCCCATAGTGGCTACCGAGATTTACGTTCCCCCTCCCAGGATGGAAGGTGACAGGGCTCCCTTTGCTCTATCCCACACCTACACTTGTTATCTTTTTTTTTTTTTTTAATAATACCTCTTCTGACAGGTGTGAGGTGACAGCTCATTGCGGTTTTGATTTGCTTTTCACTTGTGGCATATATCCCAAGGAATGGAATTCCGACTCTCGAGGAGGTATGTATACTCCCACGTTCACTGCAGCACTATTCACAGATGGCCAAGCTATGGAAGCAACCTGAATGTCCATCAACCTGAATGTCCATCAATGATGAGTGGATAAAGGAAATGATGCGTACAAGCGGTGGAACTTTAATCTTAAAAAAAGAAGGAAATCCAGCCATTTGCATGACCATGTTGGATCTGGAGGACGTTATACTAATGGAGATTCTGCAGACAGAAGGACAGACATTGCGTGATCTCTCCCTCATGAGGAATCTACAGTAGTCAGCTCACAGGACCAGAAAGTAGGACATTGGTCACCAGGGTTTGCAGGAAGGGGAAATATGGAAGTGTCAAAGTAAACAAAGTTTCAGTAATGCAGTAAGTTCAGAAAATGGACTATAGTATAGGGCCTATTGTTAACAATATTGTAATGTACTTAAAAATTCAGTAGATGTTTTGTTAAGTGCTGTTGCTACAAAAGAAGAATCACATATACTCTGGTTTCTCTTCAGATCATATAAATATTTCGCCTTTCACTAAAAATTTCCATGGAGAGGAACAATTTTGAGTTTTTGACCAATTTTTTGAGGCCTTGCATTTGCAGGGCTTATTTTTTAAAAAAGAAAAATCACGGGGTGGCCCCTGTGGCTCAAAGGAGTGGGGCACTAGCCCCATATGCCGGAGGTGGTGGGTTCAAACCCAGCCCAGGCCAAATACTGCAAAAAAAAAAAAACCAAACAAAAAAGAAAAGAAAAATCACTATTAAAATATAGAATAAATAACAAAGGGGCCTGGAGGAAGCTTTTTGAAGTGATGAATAAACATAAATATAAGGCTTTGATTGTGGTGACGCTTTCACAGGTCAAGACTTACTTCCAAATTCATCAAGCTGTGTACATTAGCTACATCCTTTTAATGTCAATTACACCTCCGTAAGGCGATTTTTCAGTACAAAAGTAAAAGAGAAAAGAAACTAATTCAGCAGGAATACTGTTCAGCATTTCCTTAAGAAGGGTCTAGAACTACATTCTGATTTATCTGAGAAACAGCCTTTGTCTTAAGTTCTGGAGCCAAGTCCTTTCCCCCTCCAAGGTGCCAGTGTCCTCCTTTGTAAAATAAGGAAGATGAATTGAACAACCTCAAAACTCCTTTAGGGCTGATACAAAAATCACTAGTCAACATTCAGGACAATAAATGATCTGATCACAGTCAGATCTCTCAGAGCAATCCCATCTTCCGGACAGTTTCTGACTGCTGGAATAGAATTAGCTCCGAGTATGATGCATGAGAGCAGAGACTCGGGGAGACACAGTCATGTAAAATTTAGGGTCTAAATAAACGTGTACAGCAAAAATATCCAATGGCATCAAACTAGGAACTTGTCATAATAGAAACTTTTTAATGCTGTCACAGCTGTGTTTTTCTCCCGAGATCGTATTTTCTGTTTTGTTTTATTTTGTTCTGAATTCACTTGAACACAAGGCAAAGGGGCTGGCTTGCATTCAAGGCCCAGGAAGCCTTGGTCATAAGCAATACCTGAGATGTTCCCAGCAGGGGAGAAGCGAGTTGACCCATGGGACCTTCAGTATTTATCTGCCATCTCATGCTTGCTGAGATACAGTCAATTCTATTATTCCTGTTTTAAAAATGCAAATGTGCTTGCTTGAATTGACAGAGTAGGGAACAATCTGAACATAATGCAGATTTCACATTTGCTCATGCTTGATTTCATTTGCAAAAAAAAAAAAAAAAGATTCAAAAAACCACAGAAAATTCCACTCGGCTAAAATGTGCCACATAAAAATATACAAACACACACAAATGCACACGCACACACGCACATCCACACCCCTCTCAAACACTCACCTGCCACCTCGTTCACAGCATGTGTTTCTGAGTCACGCTCAAGTACATCTGGCGTTAGGACTTACAAATAAGCCTCCCTACATATCAGGGCACAATAACCAACAAGGCTCAGCCCTTCTCAAGTCCACTTCCTCAAGCGAACTCCTGGTTTTCTTCAAGATAAAGAGCTGTCTCTGGTGTGTTTGTCTATTTCTTAACCTATGTAAAACTGTGCTACCATTTTTATAAAATTCCTCTTTTCTAAAACGTGTTCCTGATAAAATTTTTTTAGTGTGGTGCCTCTAATCCCATTCCCCCCCGACACCCCATGATTTTTATTGCCTAATTTTACACAGGGCAGTAAGTTTTAGGAACACACAGGTCATGTCACCCCAAAGCTGATGGTATCCGCTCTTGCTGAGAAGATGGCAAGAGGAATCACCCACATCATTTGATTTTATTTCTCTCTCTCTCTCTCTCTCTTTCATATCAGGTGACTTTGCTACATTTCAGATTCTTAAAATTTTTCTCTTTGGGGGCATGCAAGGGAAAGGGTTGAACAAAGCTAAGGGATGCAAAAGGTCCTTCACCCTCTTGTCATTAGGGAAGACCCTGACTAATCTTGAGGTAGCAGCTCTTGCTGTTGCGGTTTTCATCTGGCCCAGCACAGTGGCTCACACCTATAATCCCAGTACTCTGGGGGGCAGAGGCAGGTGGATCACTTGAGCTCAGGAGTTTGAGATCAGCCTGAGCAAGAATGAGACTCTGTCTCTACTAAAAATAGAAAAAACAGCCAAGCATTGTGGTTCATGACCATAGTCCCAGCTACTCAGGAGGCTGAGATAAGAAGATTGGTCAAGCCCAAGAGTTTGAGGTTTCTGTAAGCTATGATGCCACAGCATTCTACCCAAGGTGACAGAGTAAGACTCCGTATCAAAAAAAAAAAAAAAAGTTGTATTCTTCTTTCCAGCAGTATTAGGTGGTCTTCAGATCTTTTGCTCTCTTTGAGAATCACAGTGTCCCCTGAGATAACAGTCTGGCCCCCTCCCCATGCTGTCCTGGCAGAAGCTCACTGCCAGCATCCTCTGGACATCTTCATTTTTATCTTTCGAATGGTGCCATCTCTGGGCCTGGCCATGTCCTTCAACCGACGCTATTTGCCCAAGGTCAAAATCCCTGGATGGTTGGCTGTCAGTGAACATCCCACTGTGGTTTATGGCTGTGCTCACAAGTACCTGCACAGTCCAGGACATAACTTATGTGTTTTTCTTCTATCCTTGATAACCTTCTAATAGGTAGCTCCGGCTAAGACTGCTGCATAAATGTGATGTTCTAGCAAGCATCCCACACGTATACTGGGGAAACCGTATACTGTGAGTCCACCAAGGAGTGTCCGTGGGCACATGGGTTTACCTCTTTGCTGGTTTTCACAGAGTCAACTCCCCCACAAGACATGCACAATGCCGGGTGAGCACGGAGACAACTTAAATGATCTGCATCAGGTACGTATTATTTAGTTAATTCAAATCCATTATATTATTAAAGAGATTAAAGACCTTTCGGTCCAACGTGCTGGCAAAGCAATAAATCTGAATTAGATCTACCATTTTAGTCAGTCAGGATTAGACCTTTTGGTGATGTGATCCATTAATGTGCTTTAGATCTATTGATTCATCCTAGAAAGACACAATTTAAACTCACAAGTCACAAAATGAACTTTCCATTAAGTTTGGGAGACGATGGTCACAGCTCATTTGACTTTTATGAACTAGAAAATGTGATGTAGACCACAATGGCACTCTATTAGGGGAAATCATGCATTTGACCATGTAGCAAAATACTGTACTCAATTACGTGAACATACACCTATTTTACACATGGCTGCTTCTCTGACTTTAAATTATTAAGGATGTGCATTTAGCTTGTTTTAAGGAGTATTTACTCCCAAGTAAGGGATCTGTGACAAAACTTTGTTCAAAAAGCAAATGAATATTTTTCATTTATATTAATTTTTTTTTCAATAAGGAACTGGAATTGAGCATAGAAATGCTTGCTATATTTATTTCTTTGCGGCAAGAGAGAAAACACGTGATGTATTTGCTTTTTATAAATGAAAATTTATATATTCTATCAGGGAGAAAAGAAAACCCTCGATCAGAAGCAGATTTTGAGATTCATCTGCTGGCCTGAAAAATGTGATAATGTAAAAAGGAGACTATAGAGGAAAAAAAAAAAGAAAACCTATTTAGAGAAGGTTTAGTTTCCCTTTTCTGGAGTTCATCTCGATGGTGTACTCTATAAACATCATTTTCTCTCAATATAATTTTGTTTATATTAGTATTATACTTAAGCCAGACTATATTAATACTACACTCATTATCATTCTATATTTCAGCCAGGGGACACTTTAGTTCCAAAAGTAATTCAACCCAGTTTTCAGTTGACTCAATCACCACCAACTTTTAAATGTTATACGCCCCCCCACTCAAGTTCTTAATCATAAAAGTCTATTTAAAAGCATGGAATGTTTGAAATGAGACACCTACTCCAATCTTTCATTTTCAGAAGATGAATTAAGTCCCACAGGGGTTACTGACATGCTCAAGGTCACATAGGTGAGTGTTCAAGGTCACATAGTACCACAAAGATAACCCATCATGAAAGTATTCACTGTCCTCTATTTTAACCTCTTACAAATGGTCTCCCTCTTATATTTGTTAACCAAGGACTTCCTTGGGTTTCACTCATCAGAAAACCTTGCTGATTCTTCTCCTTGTAAACTACCCAAATTGGCTTTTTTTGCCCCAGCACAATCAACACCCTTGTGTTGGCTCTAACCCATGAAATTGTCTGAAGCACAACAAAATCAGCCCCCACAAGCCATCCTACACCAATACAGGTTGATCCTGCTCCTCTTTTACTGCTATGATCTGTTTTTATTTGCACTGGGAAGAGGGACGGCAGGCCGAGTTCAAGAAATATTAGAGATCCAGGCAAAGCAGGGAGCCCTGCTACTTGGGAGGCTGCAGGGGGAGGATCACTTGATCTCAGGGATTCATGTCCAGCCTGGGCAACACAGCAAGACCCTGTCTCTAAAATAATCATCCTCATAATAAAACTAAATTAAAATTAAAAAATTGGAGAAGTGAGTTGATAAATTTACTAGGTGTAGAATATAAATGTCTAAACACAATTAAAAAAAATTAGGAGTTATAAGTGTTTGTTATATGGATGGATTGTATCATGCTGACGTTTACTAGACTAGTGTACATTGCACCTAATGGGTAGATTTTTATTCCTTTTCCCACCCTTACCCAAATTACTGATAATATTTTTTTTAAAACTGGGTTTAAAATTTCCTTTGGTTCTTTAGTAGATCAAATATACAAAATGTTATCAGTTGCATAACAATGGAGGGGTCTCAGGGACCGACCCCACCATGGTTTTGCTATTGTGTATTGATTTCAGGAGTTGCAATTTCACTGTTTATGACTTTGGTTACTGGACCCTTACTCACCCATCCGTGACACTCACATGTCAGCACTGTTGGACTAACTGCTTAGAAGATTTTTAATGCCAGAAAAGTTGAATATTAAAACCTATTTTTTCTCACACATTAATTTTGTTTTTCCTCACCAGCTGACAAGAATAAAAATTTCTCTCCTTTTCCCATTTATAATCTAGGAATCTCTATTCACTCAATTTTAGAACTAGGCTCAAATCATGGTTCCACCATTTACCTGCAATATCACCAAAGTCAAAT